GGTTTTTTGCTTGAGGATGACTGGCCAGTTCCCCTGCTATGAGGCGGCTCATTGGACCCACAGCAAAGCTCTCCTCCCTCGTACCTGTGGCCTCAAACATCGAATTTAACACTGAAGCCAAGGATTTGACTTCAATCTGCAGTTCAGCGGGGAGGGAGTGTATGTCTACATCACTTAGGCTTCCAAATTTCTTCTTCTCTGGTCGTTTTGCATTGATCGTGTCCAGGTCCGGTGAGAGCAGGGGGAACAGGTGTGCAAACGTGGGTAAGACGACCAGCTGTTGCGATACAGGGGCGAAGACCACAGGAACATGCATGACTTCGGCCGTGTAGTTCATGTTCCCCATCCACTCGCAGAGTTTCTCCTCAAATTGCTCAAACACGGGGTTTCCTTCCATTTCCCCCGTGACATTGTTGGCTAGCAGGTGTACGGAGTGGGCGACGGTGGTGAAGACTACGCAGTACTGGAAGTGACTGAGGGATATGATGTCTTTAATGATGTCCACCGTCCTCCCCTTCAACAGAGTGCTCACCACAAACACCGCTTTGGGCTCATTCACGCTGCAGGCTTCGAAGCTGGAAAACTGCTTTAAATTTCGGGCTCCAGCCTCCAACAAGGCAGCAGCCCCTCCGTTCCAGTGGAGAGCCTCTGCACACCTGTCGTCCAGAAAAACAACCGCCTTCTTCACCTTCGACAGCACCTTCTCCCACATCTGCAGCGGAAAGTGCGTAAAATCCTCCGTCGTCAACATTCTGCGAAGAACCAGAGTTCGCTAAATACAAACGAAATCAAAGACGCATCAGAAATGTCAGCTGAAGTAGCTCCAGCAAAACAAACACACGAGTCTCCTAAAGGTGACGTGGCAGAAGAGCGTCGCAGCATAAAGACGTCATCCAAACTCGTTGCTATAGCAATACGCAGCATCCCGAGAGCGAGCGGTGCTGGTGAACTATTTTACATAATTATCAATAATTGTTTAAAGTGCATCATTATTATAGAGTATGTCAAATATCTGTATCACTATAAGCAACCATATTTCAGAAGCCAATGAGCTAAAAAAAAAAAAAAAAAAAGACTTAATTACAAATTTCTCTTTCGCCTTCGAAGCCAACGGTTAATTTGCACTTACTCTTCTCACCGTTTAAAACGTTTTTTTCTTTTCTAGACGTTGACAACTAGCTAGGTTTTTTGTTTGTTTGTTTGTTTGTTTGTTTGTGTTTGTTTTGTTTTTTGGACTTCTTTTATATATTTGAAACCACTTTTTCCTCTTTAAAATGTCTACTTCGGAGTCGGACTCCAGTGTTTCCGCCGATGAGGATGAAGAGGGGAAATTATATCAATGTAGCTAAGTTTGAACCTGCCAGTTGCCATGTTTTAATGTGTTGTTTGTTCAATTAATTTTCCCTAGAAACACATTTACATTTATAAGAGAGCTAGCAGCCAGTGTAATTGCCACAGGTGTTTCTGTATATGTAATCAAATATACTGAAGTTTTAACATCACATTAAGGCACCAGTGTTAACCTAAATGTTTCATATGTGTGTTTTTTAAGGGATCTTTGAAGTGAGCATCCAGGATGACAAGGAGGAGACAGAAAAGAGACAAAATCCTTTAAGGTATGGAAGCTGTGTGACTTTATTTTATTTTTTTAAGTAGTAGAAATAATGACAAAAATCATTTTATCTTAACTTTAGTTGTGAAACAGTTTTAAAAACAAGGGTTTACAAAGTGTTTAGACAGGCGATGCAAAAGCAGAAGGCAACATAATAGCAATAAATAATAAAAATACAAAAAAAAAAATTAAAAACTACAGACTTAAACGTGCAAAATGCAGTAAGTCCATAAATACAGGTAAAGTAAATAAAGCAATTAAACTTTAATAGTCCAGTTAAGTCACTGTTAATTTGATGGCACAATTTGAGCAAAAGCTGTTGAGTCAACATGTTGGAGACATATGATTGGCATTACCAATTCACTTAACAACAAATATTAAGGTTATGTATTATTATTATATTATTACTCTTAGACCCCACAATTTTATTTATCATGTACGTTTATCTGAAGAAGTTAAATATGACAATTAAACCCTTAAAATCCCATATAAAGCACAAACTTACTTGACTAATGTAAATATTTAGGGGAAAACCCTAAAATAGATAGATAGATAGATAGATAGATAGATAGATAGATAGATAGATAGATAGATAGATACTTTATTAATCCCCTAGGGGAAATTTAGGTATTTTATAGCTCACAGGTACAGATAACAAATAAATGAAAGACAACAATAGCAACAGCAACCCAGCAATAAAAGTTAAAATGTGAGCAAATGATGGTGGTAATGATGATAAAATATGACAAATATCAAAAATATGATAAAAGGTTAAAAATGTAATCAATGAATAAATCGGATAATAAACAACTTAATAAAATAAAATAAAATAAAATAGAGGGACATCAGTCCATTGCACAGTGCCCATGTGGGGTGTCAGGGGGCTGCAACAGCCAATTATCTACACTAACAAATGACCTGACTAATTTAGACTATTTGACGATAAAATCTAATAAAATTCTACAAAGATTCCTTAGAATATCATTGACTGTGGCGAGAAAGAACTCCCTTTTAACTTGGAAAAAACCTCCAGCAGAACCAGGCTCAGGGAGGGAAGCCATCTGCTTCCACCGGTTGGGGTGAGGGTAAAGGAGAGGAAGCAAAACAGACAACAAAACAAGACAACATAAACACTAGACAGACTGGAGTAGTTGGAGAAGTAGGCACGTTATGAGTTAAAGTTGCATACAACCACTGCTTTCCTTCTCATAACCATGAGATAATTATGCTATATAGAATATGTGACATATTTTGCATCCTTGTGTTATTGCAGTTGTTTTACCTCATTCTCAAATATTCTCTTATTGTCATGTATTATTTAAGGGTTAAACATACATGACAAGCCATATATAGGCATAGGTTTTAGGGGGAACTCCGCCTCAATATTTAGAAAACATGAAAACATGAACAAAGCAGAAAACTTTTTTTTCTAATTCATTAATAGACAAAACATTTTTTTTAGACGGGGTGGATTTTTTTTTTATACTATCAATATGAATCACAAGCTCATACAACCACTGAATATATTGTGGAAAATGCAATTAGATGCATATATATTCCATTACATTCTAAATGTGACCTGGTCCCTGAATTCCATGTATTCCATTTCAACAGTAAATTGATGCAGCAAAGTTACAAATTGATGCATTAAGATTCAACAGAAAGCAGAACATTTAATTCCCCAAAGTGTTTTATGCTCAAAATTTCCTGTGGGAGAACCCTGAGACCGCCTGTTTAATATATCCCCCTCAAGACTCAAATGAAACCCATATCCACGAGGCCAATAATAACTCTGAACACAGTCAGAATCAACGATACTGGCATGCTTATTTCCAATTAGGAACAACTGCAATATAGCAAGAAAGCATTCAAGTATAATACAGTTTTCACAGTACAATAATAACAGCGATCATTATAGCTCCACACTACATGAAACGGTACAGTGTCTGCTGCCCCAAAATGTGCAGCCACTCATGTGGAACATTAAGAACTATTTGATGCTAATTAAATCTGCTGCCAGGCGAACACTGTTTGTTTGTGAGCTGGGAAATGTGGATATAAGCAATCACACAGCTGGAGCACCGACAATATCTGTGTTCTGCATTCTTCAGCCTTTTTGCATCAGAATAAATGTAGCATAACTTACCAATTACAGTAGGTTACTGTAACGTACACCAATCAGGTTCAACAATCTTGTTTTTGTGTGCGTGAGTTGAATCTTTTTTTCTGTTTGTGAATTTGTGACTTAAATCAAATATGCAAGTTAAAGGATGACAGTTGTGTCTGCAGTGCTGGTTAATTTAAAGATTTGATGGTTCGAATGACAGAGGAAACATGAATAGTTATGATTAAATGCATTTTTTTCTGTTGTTTTTTATTGTTTTCCTGCATCGATTGTTTTTTTTTTAATAACAACGCAACATCTATCTGTAAAGCATCAGTGCAAATGGGAGCTCTTGTGCATTTTGACGTGCAGGTGGATATTATTTTCATGCATTTTTTTGTTTTATGGGGCAATTTGAAAGCTGTCCAAGATGATGAAGACAGTGATGATGCCATTACTGATGAATACAGTGATTTTTGTGCAACTGTTCAGCTGTGCATATGAGAGTGTAACTGCTTACTATCCATCTCCCGACAAAATAATGTTAAAATTTTCAGCTTTTTATTGTGTTTGTCTGCCTGTTGGGCATAATATGTGTGTGTTATTTGTCAGGAACCCACTTCTGTCAAAGTATAGCTTTGAGATATTTTCATAGCTTTTTTTGGTGATGTATTAGTCTTGCGTGTGGAGGCGCCAAAATTAGATTATCAGCACTCAGCTCAAGTGTTTCTCAGAGTTCAAGTTATTGTCATGATGATGGAGGCAGCAGGGGTGATAATGTGAGTGCCTCTTGATTTCTTGCAGCTCTGAGCACACACCTGAGCATCTTGAGATTAGCGCTGAAAGGAGGACACATGCAGCTGGTAAGTAGGCTCTCTTGCAAACCTTTTAAGGATGGCCCAGAAGAGAAGAGGACACTTAAAACAACACAAGCACAAAAGCTGAAAGACCAGAATTTTATTTGTGTTTAATGAAGATGTGCAGTTCAGTTTTTTTTTTCTAGTCAAGAAACATAACACAGCCTGATTTCAGGAGACAGCAGACTTTTCAGACAACCCAGAGTTCATTTGACCTCAAAAAGTGGACTTCTGTTTATTCCTAACACATTGATCATTAGTTGACATGCACACTGAGAACACTGGTTTGATTTCTACACATCATCATGACAAAATGTTTTGCTTCCCTACTGAAAATGAATAAATATTTGTAATCTTCTGCATTAAAGCTCATGCATGCCTTTTGTCTGTTGAATCATGTTTTACAGGCACTACAAAGGCACTACACATGTATGAAGTAGAACGTATTCAAGGAATCCAAGAGCAGAGCCCAAATGTAAAACCTCTGAGAGACAAGCCATGGAGGAATCCTGGTAAGTTGGACTATTTGAGCCTGTAGATGTATATTATCTTTTCACTGTGTGGTTTCATTCAGTGAATATTCACTGATTCCAGACTTGTTTATTACCAACTTGTTGTTCTTTTAATTTTAGGTGCTAACATCTCCGATTACTTTAACTATGATTTTAATGAAAAAAGCTGGATCGCCTACTGTAAGAAGCAGACAAAACTTCATGCAGCCAGTAGAAAGCTTCAAGCGAAATTCATGGTAAGATGAGATATTACTGATGTGGTTTTGTCAACAGTCTTCTTCTTTTCTTTTTTTTTTTTTTTAAGAAGAGACCATAAACATACACAAGAAGAAAATAATCTGCTACTATAACTCAGAACAGATTTTACTGGTCTTGTTTTAATTTAAACTGGAAATGAACTGTGACTAGATTAGAGAGCAGAGGATGAAGGAGAAGTTGTTGTTGTTCCACTCAGGCCCAGAAGAGGCACACTGGACATGGAGAAGAAGAGTCTTCTTGTGCTTTCCCCCCCTCAGGCAGACTATCTATGCGAGCCTCCAGGTCGGTAACATGCCTCCTACTGTTTATTATTGTCTGTATCCCATTCCATGTTACCGCTCTGAGCTCAGATCCGGGAGAAGCTGGCAGCTGGTTGTTTGTGTTTGTTTGTGACACAACTATCTGACTGATGCCATCTGTTTTCTGTGATCCTAAGATGGGCTCAGCATATTAGGGTTGTTTTTACAAGGGATCCCGCAATGTTGAGGTAAACACAAACTTATGTCCATCTGATGAAAGGTTGATGTTTTTTTCTGACTTTTTTCACTTTTTACATTTCATTCATCCTTTTTTTTTTATCTTAACACCATCATAATAAATTGCATATGAGAAGGAAAAACCTACATTTACTCAATTTTTGCATTATTTTGCTTTACTTGAGCATTTCCATTTAATGCTTTTGTATACTTTTTGCTCTAGTAAAGAAGGAAACATTGCATTTTTTTTACAACCAGCATCATTTTTCAACAACTGTAGTTGTAGCTATGTGTCATAGAAATACATAAAAACACATGTAATGAATTATTTAAGCACTGTTTAAAATTAAAATCACCTCAAGCAGTTGCCACGTGAAAGCAATAGTTGATGAATTTGTGATAATAACTAATATATAATATGTTATGTGGGCCAATTTGCATTCTGCTTTCACTGTTGACACTATAGTAGTGTTAGTACACTTTGCTTCGAATTTGGATTCTGAACCAACAACATATTTTACACTTTTGCATTACAACTTATGCATGAGTAAAATATGTAAATATGTCCTAAATACAGCAGAAACACTGCATCAGATTCTTTTCCACCAATGGTATTATCATCATCATCATTTCTGTGGCAGACAGGTGTGCCTTTCCAACCCAGTTACAGGCTTCAATCATTTGTGTGTACATTAATGCTAGGCAGATTTTTTAGTAAGTGGCATCCTGTCCAAGCATACATTTTCCTACCATTTGTGGTCCAGTTGTTTTCCAGATGCGTTTGCCCAAAGCATCTTTTTGCAGAATACCCCCCCCTACTCCCAACCATTTAGTTTAATGGGTGATGAAGATGCCCACTGGAGGTGCTGACCGTCAGATGAGGCTGACTGGCAGAACTAGCCACTTAATTAAAGATCCGTCCCTTGATGATGTTCTCCTCCGTCGGCAAGGTTATCCTTCAGGGAAGGTCGTGGATCTGAGTGCTTTGTGTGACGTCATGCGCCTCCCTCTCTCTATGTGACCGAGCTGGACCAGAGGGGAACCCGGAAGTCATGTCATAAACAAATACACACAATGTATTTTCCAATAGATTATGTGCCAACTGAGGTTTGACCAGTAGCAGCAGCCTTGTTCTCTGAGACCCGAGTTTCTGCTGTAATTGGTAAACTGTCTGTAAAGTGTCCTTTGGAAAAGAAGCGCAGTTTTATCACCTTTACTCTATGCTAAATTTGTGTGGCATTACAACATAGATTAAATTGTGCATTGTCTTTATACAAACCTATTGGGTTACAAAATGTGTGTGCCTTTTAAAACTGGAGCGAATAGTAAAAGAGACATTAAGTAGCTGCAGGCTCCCCTCCTTTGAGCTGCCATTAGATGCAGTTGCTATTTCTTCTTACTGTATGCTTTTCTCTACTGCTGATTAAGTCCTAGTGACAGAAAGGGGTTAGTGTCCCATCTGTGTTTGTGTGTGTGCGTGTGCATGCTCAATGAGGGTGAGGGTAGGGGGGTTTAGGACTGTAAAGGGCTGTTTTGTGAAGAAGGCGAGATGACCCAGATAAGGAGGTTTAATGCGTTAATGGACCTGCAAGGGGTCGAATGGGGGCATTGGGAGTGAGATTAGGACAAACTAATGTCCTGTTTTAAAAATATTATATAAGTGCACATCAGCACCACATGCGCACATATTTTAAGGGTGACTGTGAAAAAGGACTTTGTTTAAGACAGGCTCATTTGCCATTTGTAGTTGCTGTATCAAAATATTGCATGGATGCATTTGTCGTTTATTTTATGTTATTACCTGATTAACAGAGAGTCGCATGCTGCCACTGATAAGATCGGAGGACGGCACAGATCCAGACACAGAGAGAAAAGGCACCGATGTCCCACTGATTTACGCCACAAGACTCAGGTAGCGTCTGTGTGTATGTGTGAGTGAGAGACAAAGACACAGTCTCTGAAGCTATTAATATGTTTATATTGCAGGTGGATACTGAGATGTCCCACAAGGAGGATAGAGTTACTGCTTATCATCTGCCACCACCATCAAATATCAACTCTCTCTTTGCATATAGCCCTTCACGATGTAAGTCACCCCACCACTGGGAAAAAGCATCACACCTAAATAAACATTTAATGAAGGCTCATTTACAATATCTTGAGAACTAACTGGCAAATGTCCTCGCACAATGCCCTTTCTCATTCTGATGGGATGAATATGATCAGATCAGTTGTCATTTAAGAAGCTGGGGTCGAGTGGGTTATTTAGCTTGAATATGAAGATTTTCAGGTGCAAGGGGCCCCAGGAGAACCCATGTGGGCCACATCACGCATCACGCAGCTGCACAAATGACTAATGGCAATCTGACCATGTGTTTGTGAAGCTGCAACACGTGTCATAATAAATAACCCCGTGGAGCTGAAGGACAGAGGTGAACATTCGTGAGTGTGTGTATATGTGTGTGTGCACGCCTGCTTGCATGTGTTTCAAGGCATTGTACAGATATATGTCTTCCTGCAGTCAGGTCTGTAGTGCCAACCAGGTGGGAGTCCGTCAGCGCTATCAACCTTTAGACTTCCTCTTGGTCTTTGTAGTGAATCAGATAGAAATCCAGGAAGACTCCCTGGCGCAAGCACACAGCTGAGCACATGCCACATCTTCATCTTCAAAGGTTCCAAAATAGAAACACTGGCTTAAGCCTCGTTCTTACCCCCTAACGCTGTGAGCCCCATACTGCCCAGCAAGCTCATGCCAGAGCCGCTAATACAACCAAAATATCAAACATCCTGCCGACTACATCTTTGAACAGTCAACAGCAGCTTTGAAGTGTGCATGTATAGCTTTTATCTAGGCCACTCCCCTTTCTTTAAGTTGTAGGCCCTGCCTCCTTTTGTGATGCAAATGTGTAACATGATAAAAATAGCCCATGGTACAAAAAAAAAAAGAAAAAGTGCTGGGCCAGCAGATTGTGGCATGAGAAATGTGCTGAACAGACCGACCGTGGGGAATAGGGCAGAGGAAAAGAAAGGGCTGTTTTTAATTTTTTGTTTGTTTTTCACCGAGGTCACATTACATGCCAAGTGTATTTGATAGGTGCAGATTGTGGAGTGGAACTGTGTCATTACAGGGGTGTACTTGTGTCATCTATCAGTGCAGCACACCGCACAGCCAAGGTGAGGCTGCCTGCTGCTTTGCGCTGCAGCAAATGATTCCTATACCCGGTTAGTAGGTCACTACAGTCGTTGTAGCAACAGAGCTGTTACATTAGTGTCCTCATTGACTGAACATTATAACTGAGCAGATGTGCAGTTCTGTCTAAATTGACCATATCATCACCAAATGCCCTCTGATCAGAGCTATTGATGAGAAGTCCTGACCTCTGTATCTTTTATCACTGGAAGGTTGAACCGAGAAGAGCAATGTTATGTGACACAAGATTTTGTCAAACCTGAGTGTATAAATTCCTTTCTTTTTTTGACTGATTACATCAAAAGTCTGCACCCAGTGTTGATTTTGAGGTTTAGAGTCAAGAATCCCAGCATTTTTTTTTTTTTTGTCAGGAACTAGTGACTTTGCTATTTACGGGCAAGAGGGGCAATGACAGGACAATGCTGTGCGTGTGTCCATGTAGATCGCTGCATCTAAGACTGCAGGAGACAGTACCCTTTACCCTAGCGAAGAACACTTAGGCCTCTGCTGCAGTGCAGAACAGCAGTCAGTGGTCCGGTGAGAAATATCAGCTCCATCTAAAACCCTGCAGCCTGTAGCTCTGTGAAACATTAGCATGAGACAGAAAGCCACGCAAACATAATCGGCAGCAATTAGCCTTCAGCCATTAGCTCTCTCATATGCTGCCAAGCATGGAACTCCAGCCCTCATCAAACACTCAGTTGGGATCACCGCAGGTAGAAGCAATTACTCACTCACGCTAACATTGATGGCATGTGTGTGGACAAGCTGGTGTTTACCGTGTGTGCATGTGCATCTGCTTGTGTATTCAGTACACGCTGCATAGCATTGCTTGAGCACAATTACTATTCTGTTTTAATCACTTTTTAATATTTATGCAGTATTTTACACATAGTAATTAATTCCACAAACTCTTGGCGACGTCCCATGCAGTGACTTCATCTATTTGCCATAATGAGTCCTTGTCTCAGGTGTTTGTTTGTGTGCAGCTCTCCATATTCCTGATGAATCACGCCATTGTCTTTTGGTTTGCTTTCCTAAAAGGAATTGCCTCAAGGCCTTCCACATTACACTTTCAGCCATTGCTGTCTCAGGCTGTTAGAAGTTTATGTTTGCCTGTTCAGTTCTGCTCTTCCCTTGGGTGTCCAGGTGTCTGAGGTATCAAAGGCCTTGCTGGGTCCATAGTGAGCAGTTCAGGCCTTCATAACTCTGTGGGACTTACATTTGAAAGGGACAGAAAATGTTCTGTGTTTTATTCACAAAGCAGGGGAGCTTGACGCTATTTTTCATATTCAGGCATCTGCTGTACGTAGCATACATACAACATCTCATATGATTCTTCCTCCTGTTACAGCCATTTCTTGTGTTCTTTGTGTTGCTAAACTCCCCGGAGCCACTCTCACATTAGGGGTCTTTATAAAAAAAAAAAAAAGAAAAGAAAAAAAAAGAAGGGGATGGTATCCAGATGTGAATGTGTGCTTTTGCCTCAATTCTTCAAAGGAATCACTGTATGTGTGTGGGTGTGTGTGTCTGTGTCTGTGTGTGTGTGTGTTTGTCCTGGCTAAGTGTGTGATTCAGAGCTGATTGTGTTGCTTGGTCACGTAAAATTTAAGCATTCTAACAAGTGGGACCATTAGCTGTGCACTCAAGCGTTTGACTTGTTCTGTTTTATTGATGGAGGTAAAGGCAAGTAGGACTTTGTCGCTCTGACATTTTGAGGCCAATCTAATATCTCTGCTTTAAAAGGAGGCACCGTAAATTTTTAGCTTATGTTGTCGGGAATAGGTGATGTTGTTGATTTTTTGGCCTGTGCTCCTTTTACCTGTCCATGTAATACTGCAGACACATCTACCATGTTTAGTTTGTGCCTTTCTACTAATTTCTCAGTCATCCAACTGGTCCTGAACAATGAACTGATTTCAAACTAGTATTGAAACAATGTAGTTAGCAAGCTGCAAAGGCTGCAATTCAGGATAGACTTTAGGATTTAAATGATCAAAATGTCAATGGATTTGCAAATTCATGCCGTTCTTCTTGTGTGATAGTCATACCTTTGATGACATCTCATGTGGTAATGCTGTGTCACATGTTTAAATGTATTACATTGTGAGTATTAAAGTAAAGACTGACCTAAAAACAACGCATTTTGGGAAACAAACAGAAAAGTCACAATTACATTTTTACCCAAAGGCTTCAGCCCTCCATCCGACTAAAAATATTTTATGTGTTTTGGACAAAATGTAGCTACTTTTTCCTGATGGTTTTCTTTGGGATATGTCTCTTATGTCTTGTGTTAACTGTGTTTTACTGCAATTTTATAATTTGTAAAAGGCTTTATATACTCTAAATGTGTTCTGAATGTCAGAAACTATGGCATGTTGTTACTTTTGCATACATTTTCATGGACAGTAAAAATAGTTCTATAATTTTTGGTTCACTTGTTCCCTCCAAGTAATTTGCAACACCTGAACCTTTTTTTGTTCAAACTGCACTTAAGTTGGGCCATAACTGTGGAGCAAACCCCTCCTTAGAAATGGTTAAAAGCCTTTGTATCAACAGTTTGGCCCGAGAGCCTCTCTTCACATATGTCCAAATAGAAGACAATAACAGAGTAACGGGTGAATGGAAACTGTAAAATATCACATCGTAGATCTAAATCTGGGCAATCGAATTTATCCATGAAGGACTGTCAACTCTGGAACACATTACCAGCTAAAATCCAATTACTTACAGATCTAAGATCTTTCACAACAAAAGTTGAGGGTTGGTGAAAGGCAAACCAGAGCCATTTTTAGTTAACTGTAGCTGTTTTTCCCTCTGTACACATCATAATTAATGTATTTTGTTGTACCTCCATGTCTGTCTTGTATTGTGGTTTCGTGAGAATTAAAGCCATGTATTTTACTTGTACTGGTTATGTAGAAGCCCAACTAGGGAAAAGAGTTGAAAATGAGCAAAAGCTTAAAACTCTCTGTGCAGTACATCAGTTTGATGCTATTTATTGTAGCTATGTTAAAAATGCAACATCCCTACCAAATAAAAATAATTCAACTTCAGTTCTGTTGGTCGGCTTGACAAAACAGACAGTGCCTCTATTTTTATGGTAACAAAGTGTCAAGTGAAAGGTGTCAGATAATGTCAAAATGGTGTTGTGTTTTGTTCATGTGGAATTGGCAGTGAAAAGAATTGCTGTGGATAGGGAATTCACAGGTTTGGAACTGGGGAGGAACATAAAAAGACAAACCATAGTCTAGAGCAACATAATCTGGACTAATGGTCTGAATAACTGACTCTCAGTTCTGTCACCAGGTTTACATTTTCAGGTTTGGTATAATCACATGATTAAAAAAAAATAGCACACTTTGGCAGTTTCATAGGAAATAATATGAAATCCTTACTGACTTGTTTTAACATGTAAACATAGTAACTATAAAGAACCTAACTCTATAATCCTTGCCTTTTCTTTTCCTCTATGCAGCTTTCCTTTTCCAATCAAGATCCTCTCCTCCCTCCACTCCAGCTATTTTCGACAGGTGAGCCCATTAAATTCTCTGTGTCTTTGGTACTTTAGACCTCTGCATGTAATGGCTGTAGTAAAACTGCAGGTGGGACAGTAATAGTGTCAGGGAAACAGTGCACTGATTTGTATTCAGGGAGGTTTGACTCAGGTGCTGGAAAAAGTAGAGAACATATTCAGGAAAATGCACAAAGGAAATGAAAAGAAGAAAATTCTGTCTGTGACTGGACTCCAGGTCACTAATAAAAGGTGTGTTAGCGCTGAAATTTCAAAACAAAACTCTTGTTTATGGAAACAGCTGCCTAATTTCTGAGGCAGACGTAATGGCTCTCGTTTGACACCAGAAGACAACTCATATTTAGCTTTTCAGACATCAGAGCTTTCTGTTCTTAGCTGGATCGGGTTTATCTGTGCTCTGTTGCTCAGCTTGCGACTGAATCAATGGCCAAATAAGGTAGAAAGCAAGACAGCAACCTTGTTTGTGCCTCCAGTTCTCTGTTTATCAGTATCCAAGGCATCCCCCACTCCGCTCTTCTATGTCACAACCTGTCTGCAAACTCCCACATTTCAGCTCTAATTTACACAACTTAGATCAGAAGTGGGCCACGTTGTACCCCAGGCTCTCCTGCATTTTCTTACATAGCCGTAAATGCAGCCCCACTCCAGTTTTGTTTGCTGCTTAGCTTGTTTCTTTTGGATGTTGTCTGTATTCAAGCCTGTCTCAATACATCTTTCTGTTTGTCTGTCTCTCCAGCTTCCTGTCTCTTCATTTTTTTTTCTCTTTTCTCAGTCCTACTCTTTCCCTTTCTCCTAATTTGCTGTGTCTGATGTGTGCCTGAATTTACTCTGTACTTTGTCCCGAAAGATGGTTTTTCTCACATCTCAGTCCATCTGCCAAATCCTCATATCCTTCAGGGACTTACTGTTCCTATGAACTCTGCCAACCATCTCCTGTACGCTTTATGAATCATTTCCTTTTTAACTTTTTTTTTTTAAACACACACATGTGCAGTGTCTACACCGATAGTCCTGGCCTCACTGTTGCAGCTCAGCTTTTCCCTTGGGGATATTAGGAACAGCAGGTATTTATGGCATAATCTGGGCCCTGGCTTCCCATGTTGTGTGGAGGGCCAAGGCCCCTAGGGATCCCACAATTCATATTTGAGTTGTGCTGATTTTGAATTGTGCTCATTTCACAGTAATGTGCCTTTATAGGGAGACTAATTGTATCATGTTGTCACTAAAAATCTGGCTTTCAGTCTTGCACATTCTCAGTCATTCTAAATCCAAGTCTAATGTATTAGCAGAATTAACAAGTAACATAATAATCACCATTGTAAAAATCTTTGCTGAACAAGTCAAAGCAGATGTTTGTGTGCTGTTTGATTAAAACCAAAAACAACTGCAGCTGTAGAAGATTTTAACAGAGAATTGCTTTTCACAGAAAACACAAGGCTTTTTGTTATGACATAAACACAGTAAGTGCGAAAAGATGATCACTGGTGCTACTGTCTTTTAAATCCATGTGATATGAATTGACAGGCAATACAGTACTGCACAACCAAAAGTAAAAGCTCTGTACATAATCTTGACACAAAGTCAAGAGTACCACCACTGTTGGACTCTACTAACTGTCCGATCCTACTTTTGATATTTATGGACAGAATCTCAAGGTGCAACCAAGGTGAGGAGGGCGTCTTTTGCAGAAGATGTAGATCTGTTGGCTTTACAAACCGTGACCTTCAGCGTGAATTGGGGTGGCTTGCAGCTGAGTGTTAGGTGCCTGGGATGACAGTCAGCAGTCAGTCAAAGGCCACATTCCTCTGCTGGACACTAGTGGATCACTGCCTCAGATGAAGGCGTTTAAGTATCTTGGGATCTTGTTCCCCAGTGATGGGAAACTGAAACGTGTGATGGACCGACCACTTGGTGCGGCGCTAGCAGTAGTGTGAAACCATTGTGGTGAAGAGGGAACTGAGTCAGAAAGCAACGCTCTCAATACACTGTTTAATGACATATGGTCATGAGCTCTGAGTAGTGACTGAAAGAATAAACTTGGGGATATAAGCAGCTAAAATTCAGGGCAGCTGGGTTCGACATTCGAAGTAGAGCCACTGCTCCTTCGAATCAAAAGGAGCAAGCTGAGGTGGTTCAGCATCTCATAAGGTTACCTCCCGCGTGCCTTCCTTTGGAGGTTTTCTGGGCACACCCAACTACACGGGGAGCCCGTGGTAGAACCAGAACATGCTGAAGGAATTTCATATTTCATCTGATCTGGGAACACCATGAGATACCCCAGGAGGAGCTATAGAATGTTGCAGGAGAGAGGGACGTGTGGAATGTACTTCTTAGCAGGCAGCCACTGAAGCAAACTCTGGATAAACAGGGGGGAAAAAAATGGGTGCATGAATACATAAATGTATATTTGGACAAGTTATGATTACATTTTTTGGTCAATTAATAATCCTATAAAATGAAGTAAATGATTCAGGCCAGCAAGGATGGTTGTTTACTTTTTCTACATAAATCATATCTGTTACTCAGATATGACATCTGAATCATATCTGAGTAACCAATACAATTTGAAACAAGTTTGAACACCAACAGTCTAGATCAATATAGTAATACTATGGACTGTGAAAATGCTTAAAGAAATTGTTACAGGTTTGCTATATTACCTGTCCCGAACCTTGTATCACAGATTAGTATGTTTATTCTGTTTCGATGCAGTAATAGGAAGGGACTCCTTGCTTTGACAAAACCATTAAGGACATTCATGTGGCATTTTAGACTCAGTTATAATCATCAGTGTTTATGTTGATGAAAGAAAGAGACCACAAGTTGTGGTTTCTGAGTACTTAGATGAACCATTAGGCATACATTATATCATCCTCGTTTTGCTACTGCCAGCAGCCACATGCCTGCCAATCCAGGCTCACTCATCCATTCATTCATTCTTCTCCATTCACAAAGCATTCTTTCTTCATCTCTCTGTGTCTGTTAGACCAAAAATAAAATTCAACAGTGATGGACTGTTGACTATGGAATTTATGGTGCAATGTGTTTGGACTCACACCTGCTGGAAAGCCGTTCAGTTGGATGAACTTCATACACATCAAGTTCACCTTCAGCACACTCGGAAGCTTTCAGTTGGAAGTGGGTGTATGTTCAGGCCACGTGGACGGGCAGAAGATCCAGATAGTTATCAGTAATATGCCCTCCATCCGTTCCTCAAGGGTTGGCGAGCACACGCTGCGCCTTGACAATGAGCCAGTCACTTCAAACACTTGAAAAACACAGCTGTGCATTTGGAAAAGCGCTTTGATCATGTAGCAGACCGGTCTACTTGTTTTTTTCTTTTTCATTCATTGATTTGTTTGCTCACACCGTTTCTTTTGTGTTTCTTAGAATGAATGACCTTAAACATCACATAAAACTGAATGAAAACTGGCAATAGAGTCTGCCAGGAATACATAACTATACAAATACCAGAACACTAGTGCCTGTATTTAAGATACATAAAGGACCTAAATGGATATATTTTTAACTTCTGCTTAATAATTGTATTTTCTCTTGTATTTATGTGTGTATATATAAATGCACAGCCTTGTCTGTTGAAATTGTATGTAATTAAACATTGTATTCACTTCATATTTCTTTAATTTTCCTTTTCAGTGGACACTCTAATGACTTTGATGGTCCCTCAACTGCACTGTACACACGTTCATCAGGTAAGAATGCATATTTCCGTGAAGGACAGTGACTGTGATAGATAGCATTTCATTATTGTGACATAACAATGCTGCAGCCCAATGTATGGTATACTACATGACTGCAGAGCCTAGTGAATTTGTATTGCTCCTGCTGACCTGGGTCACTACTGTGTTAATGGACTCCTCCACTACAGTCAACCGTTCTAGGAAATTCCCCACTCCATGCTCTCTCACACATATTTCTCAACCATCGTGGGTATTGGAAAACTGAGATATTTCCTTATGATAATAAAAAATATGTGACTTGGGCCTTTTATTCAGCTCAGTGTGCAGCTACAGCCCAAACTTTGATTGTTTTCAGCACAGCTCTCCTAAAGCTCTTGTGCTTTCTTCTCTTTTCAACAGAAACCTGCCCTATATATTTGTTTTGAACTTCCAGTCTGTGTATGTTCTAAATATGCTCTTTGACAGAACGTAACTGCTGAAGTGTTAACCGTTACATTAATCATACATAAGCAAAGGAAAAAAACAAACTATGAAACAAACAGCTGTCAAGTGCTGCGCTGAATACAACGACTTGCTGAATGCTTCATTTATAGTCTGAGTAAATAAAACTGATGCAGTTGCCAGATGCTGCTGTTTAGGGTCATCTGTTTGTCATGGCTTTATTCATTCTGTTCGGGTGTATCGTCTTTAATCCCAGGGAGGATCGCCACCAGAGCTAGAGTGATTGATACTACCAAGGCCTGGGAATACCACGCAAGGCAACTTAAGTGTGACAGGCAAAGAGATAGATCCAGAGAGCATGGTGATGATAAAGAAAACAAAAGAGGCAGCGATAGAGAAAAGAAGAGACATTCTTCTTCACACAACAGGTGGGTCTCAGTGGCTTGACACCATAAATGCTCATAATCAGACCCTTGATCTGTTCTTTTTTTCTTTTCAATGTATATAAATGTCAAGTTGGTTTGTATGTCATGTTGATACAGCAAAAGACACAGTGTGTATTCTGTCTTCCCTCTTCCCACTGCTGGGTGCCTCTGCAGTGGATGAAAGCAAATGTCTGCTACACAGCTGTGGTCCTCTGGATTAGGCAACATATAGTATATTGGTTCTTGTCCAGTTATTCATTCTATTCTGGCCTTGTTCAATATGTGTGCATTTCCAGCCTGCCTGTCTTTCTTTAACACACAGATACACACACACTGATATGTGTACGGAAAGCTTGGAAAGTGATGGATAGTGACAGAAAACTTTAGAGGAGATTTAAAAAAAAAAGAAAAAAAAAGCAGAACAAAAAATGATCATGAAGGGGAGTGTAGAGCTGCACAGCAGTCTGTTTGCCAGGTGAGACAAGAGATGTGTACACTCACTGTATGGTGCTCATCAGAGAAGCGTAGCATCTCAGCTTGACTATATAATAGAGTGTGACAGCTGTGTGTCTGAAGAAATGTGAATAAAAGGGACTCAGAAATGGCTAACTCAGAACTTAGTCTGCACTTCAACATGCATCCAAAAATTAGTATCAGGTGTCCAACAAACATGTATGAATTTACCTAAACTGTTTCCATATACCACATCTAAAGGCATTGCTGTTGTGAATGGTTCCCCTCTCAGCTATCCAGCTGATAACTGTAATATAAACACTGTTATGAGAAAATGTGTAGCTATTGTGGAGAAATGCACACTATTGCAAAAGAACATAAGGCTATTGTGACAGAAATCAAGACTACTGCAAGACCAGGAGAAATTATTGCCAGCATATGCAGAACTATTTTAGCTGCTCTGGTGCAGTGAGATGAGGGAATAACTCACTGTAGCTGTTTGCCAGCTATTGCCAGGAAATAATTGAGTCTACACTCTCTGCATGGAATTTGGGCCCTTCCTCCCTGTGGCTCACTGATGATAAGAGCCAATCTGATTTCCACTCCAAATTTCACATAGTGCCCTACTAGCCTACAGTCTGACAGCCCGAGTGTTGCTGTGTACTCAAACATTCATGCTCACATGTGTGCACAAGCCAAATCTTGCCCTACATTTCCTCTACACTCAGTGATGACCTTTACCCAGATGTCTATTTAATTATTATCAACTCCGACAGCTGCCAACTATAATACATGCAGGCGCATCTTTCCTCCTCCTCTCGTACTCCTCAGCTGACCTGAGGCTCATACTGTATGAAAGACGGAACGTTTCCGTTTTATTGTGACAGAGAATTTTTCACCAAAATACATGTTAGGTACCAGGGATACTCCTGCCTTTGCCCTCGCCTGAAGCACTGGCTTCAGATCTGTCACTGCCTAAATACTTGAAACTACAAACACCAGCAATCAGACTGAAATTTAAGACTAATTTCTCAGTCCGTGCCTGTAGTTTCAAAGGCTGTAATGCTGTTGATAACAACGGACTCCTGTGTCAGCTACTGTTGGAGCCTCATTGTTAATTAACTTGCATGGAAATAAGTGCAAAATAGCAAAAGTGACAAACTGAAGTATCTTTCCGTACTGCGCTCTGTTAAAATATCCTCGTACACTGTTCTGCTTTTCAGCACTTTTCCTACTTGAAGCAGTGAGCTTTTCCAGGAGTGTTTATGCACTCGATGACTGAATTCCGGTTTATATGTAAAGCTCAGAACAATCTTGTGGGTCACATGAGGAAAGTGGGACATGGGGACAGCTGGGAAACTGTAGGCGAACTTCAGAAGATAGGAACAACGAGAATCATGTGTGTGACAGACACAGAGGGAATGCACATGAGGATTTAGTGATTCTTACCACAGATTTGCTTGAATGTCAGTCACAGAGGACAGTTCCTGTGGCCAAATGTGTGCTACTCACACCTTTTGGGCTCCGTTGTTTGCTCTACGTTCTAGTCGCGTGACCAGGCTTTGTACTCTGCGTGTCTCACACACACACACACACACACACACACACACGCACGTACAGGTTGTATGTTTTCTGTAACATTGATTTATGGTTGTGCTCTGGCCTATTTTTAGACTGGAAGCAGAGGGATTTATCGTTAGTGTGTGTGCAAAAGAGAGAGCGAAACAGATGGAGCCTTACCCACCTTCGTTACTAGCCGCCTCTTATTGTTCACTGGCGAGGTCAGTGTGAGTGTTACATTTGTGCATTTGTGGTGCTAATTTCGGAGCTTACCAGCCCACATGTCCTGTGCTGAGTCACACACAGGCAGCGTGTGGCAGGGCAGCCCTCTAGGCATCAGCTACTGGTTATCAGCTGCGGTCGAGACAGCATGCTTTGGATTTACCACCGCCACTAATAGATTCCATGAGGCTCACACTTACATTTTCACCCATGCATTTATTCAGAATGAGTGATATACTGTACTTTTCTGACACCTTTTACCTTTTTTTAGTGGGTGCATTCCAAGCAGCTGATTGGCCATTTGGTCAACACTTGTCCCCTGACTGTAAATCTCATCTCTGGATGATAAATGTAGCTCTTTACAGCTGGCACGGCCTCAGAGTCTCTTATCATCTCTTTCAGGCACACATATGCCGACATTTGCACAAGACAATGAGGACATGCAATATCTACTTCTCTCCTTGGTCCATTTCTTACATTACAGCATCGCTTCGCACAAAGAAATCTAATTTAAATACCCCTCGGCTTGTTTGATCGTTGGCTGACAAAAAAAAAAAAAAACCTGCGCTCATAATCCAGTGACTTCACTTAATAATAACTGAAAGGAGAAGTCTGAGTGTGATGAGGAAATTAAAATGATAATTATCTTCCCGCTTAAACTTGCAGTAAAAGCGTCATTAGAAAATGCCGTGAGGCTACTTTCAGTGTTAATAAAGGGTATAGCTAACTCTGATTTGAAACAGGAGCTGTTAATTGAAAAAAGGCCATTGTACTGCAATGCATTGAAACCAAACTAGGGCATTGCTAACTCGGAACAGCAAAAGCATAGAAATAACATTATACAGTCTAAACCGAATTTGTGCCAGTCAACAATAGCTGTCTCGTTCAATTCTCATTAATGCACAACAGAATGATTCCCTTCCTTAGCGGAATACATGTGGAAAATAACATTTTCTGGAGTTTCACAAGTTTTGTCTGTGTTTTGGAAAAAATAATCCCCCAGTGCAACTTTGATGGCAGCTTTGTGTTTTGGAGGAACAGTCCTGTCTCTCTTCAAGGTTTTGTTTTAGATTTAGGAGGAACAGTCTGATCCAAATTGCCACCTTCTTCTGCCACGGGCAGAAAGGGGTACAGTAAAACCTTTCTTTTTCTTGATTTTCCTCTGCTGCTTTGTGCTTGATGCCACTTTTATCCTGGCTTCAGGATCTGTCTCGGGGCCTGTACATTCTTCCACCTACATCTGTTTTTATTTTCCCTCCACCCAACAGTTTTTTTTTTTAGCCCTTAATGTGACATACTTTTTGTCTTTCTGCCTCAACCTCATGCAAGACATTTCTTTTCTTCAACCAATCTCGGGGCCTGTACCTAATAAATTTTAATGTTCCTTCTACAGTGCAAGCTCCACCCTGCACTGAATGCTACTGTCTGTCTTTATTCTTAGAAAAACAGCACAATGTCTTGTCTTACCTTTACACACATAGCAGCCATACATTCCTCGACATTTTCTACTGTTTCTTCCACCATGTTCCAACAGCCAACACCTCTTGTTCACTTGCTTGCCCTTTCCCAGGGGCATTGCACATTTATTATATATAAAAAAAAAACATGTTACAGCAGATTCTGCTTCTTTACTTTTGTTGGTTTAGACTTACCTGAACCCCCGGTTTGCTACAGTTTATGCTCATCCTCTAATGATAATGCTGGCTTCTAAGCTGTATCTTTGTCCTTCCTAGAGTAAACAGACTGGCATGGGTGTCCTTATACCGCCTCGGTTTGCTCAGTAACCTAATTTAATAAGATAATGTGATCTCTTTGGCCAAATAAAACATTCTGCTACAAAGCAAGGAGAGCACTACACTGGTATTTAGATCAAAACATACACTGTTAGTTAACAGAAGATGACTTTTTGCTTTAACTGAATTTTCTCATGCATACCACTGCTTCATCGTATTTCATACGTAGTGTATGTTCATTGTTCTGATTATGTCACTTGTAATTAGTCTGACTCAACGGATGTAGACTCTGGGTTGTAGTCTGTTATTTCTGCCGCGCATTTCATGCAGCTTTCTCCCCCTCTTCTGCTATCTGCGTGTAACTATGGGTAACAACAACAACAACTTCTGAGCTGCAACCTACAGGCAAAAAAATCACAAGTTTTATCGAAGATTTGGATTGTGCAATGTGGCATTGATGCTTGTTTCTTTTAGTGAATAAGCCATTTTAAGACAGCACTGGCCTCCTAAATGTTCCACCAAAACAATTCCCCCTGTCACTATTTTGCAGGACACCATCGCTGCATCCTGCCTTAGCCCCATCCAAGACTATTGTGATTGGTTTAAAGTTATATAAACATGGGACTGCAAGATGGCGCAGTGGTTAGCATCGTTGCCTCGCAGCAAGAAGGTCACCGATTCGTGCTCACCGGGATCTTTCTGCGTGGAGTTTGCATGTTCTCCCCATGCAGCGTGGGTTCTCTCTGGGTTCTCCAGCTTCCTCCCACACAGTCCAAAAACATGTTGAGGTTGGTTAATGATTCTGGATTGTCCATAGGTGTGAATGTGAGTGTGCTTGGTTGTCTGTCTCTAAGTGTAGTCCTGTGATAGACTGGTTACCTGTCCGGGTTGTCCCCTGCCTTCGCCTTCAGTTAGCTGGGATAGACTCCAGCCCCCCCACGACCTCAGTTAGGATTTAGCGGTGTATAGATGATGGATGGATGGATGCATAAACATGCCAGAATGTTTCTTTCCTTTATAGCAGAATGATAATGAGGTATAGCCAGGCCATTCTCCACAGCGCCTTGAAGATAGGTCTGACTATATGAGACTAACTTGTAATCAACAACTCAGCCTTTTTCATGTGGAAAAGGCTGAGTTGTTGCTCAAAGTTGGATCACTAAACCCAAACTTAATCAACTTCATATTATCAGTTTTCCAGGGAAGCACATTTAACCAATCCTATATATTACCACATCCAGATAAACAGTAATTACCATAATCATGTTGCCGTCCAAGAGCTGGAACAAAGGGTGTTGGGAACAAAAAGGCAAAACTTGTTTTAGTGCCAGTCCATTATTGTCTTTCCACTGTACCTGGCAAAACCATGAGCAGGTGTGGGCTTTGGTTTTTCATTTAGCTTCATTGAAATGCTTCCATGTTTGTACTTAGTCTCTTTACTATACCACACTGTGTCTTTTCATTCATTTGAGTTCCAAACACATTCAGAGAAACTAGGCAAAGTCTCTCTACAGCTGTGTAGTTGGTTTTAGATGCACAGCACCATGGCATGTGAAGGTAGAATCTAAATAGTAATTGGCTCTAATATTTAAATATCCTGCATGATCATCACATTTCATGTTTCATTCAACGTTATTATATAATCTTAGCAAGAACAAACACTTTTCTTGACAGAAAATTACACTGGCAAAGGTGTGTTTCTTTTGGCGACCGGATTCTCCACCATAAACTAGCTGAAATAACATTTCCCGCTCCATGAGCCATTATTGCATTCACATCCCCTTACTAGCAGCTGCTATTTGTTTTCGCAGACACTATTTCCATTTTGGTTGTGTTAGTTACGAAATTGTGTTTTATATCCACAGCGAGGCTCAAAAAGTCATCTGGTTTTCTCAGTTAAATGACTGTAGGGGTAGAGTGGTCAAATTTACACTTCAGTAGGCTCAGGCATGTTCTGAAATCTGTGATGCTGCTCGCTCTGACAAGCTTGGCCACTACTGATGAATAAAATTATAAAATGTGAAAGCGAGTCCTGAGGCTTCATGCTATAATTTACTCTTGGTAACACTGTCTCCTTGGGAGCCATTTGACTGTGTTCTTGGTGTTATGCGAGGTGGTTGTTTCTATGTTCAAACTAATGGCTCTGAGCAAAAACAAATGTGGGCCTTGGGTCCTAATCCATGCTGCTAACAGAAGAGCTGTCTCCAAATATTGAATACATTTAGCTTTGTACTTGCAACACTCTGCCCCTTAAGGCTCTTTCTCTCTCTTGTTGAACGAGTGAATGGTAATAATTACTCCAGCCATGTGTGAGCCGAGTGTCTACACTAGCAGTGCAGTATTTGTACTTTTCCTATACACTTGTTTATTTATTTATTTTTGACCAAGATGATACTTTTATAGAGGCGGTGAGAAATACTTTAAAAGTGATGATTCTTAAAGGTCATGTTGATTATTCTAAAATTGCAGACCACGGACTGTGTCAAGGTGGTGAGGTGAGCATTTTAGAGAGAGAGAGGGAAGAAAATATATACTTCAGATTCACACTGCAAATTTGCCATCAGCAGAGAGTGAGAGTTTCTCTTTAATCTTGCAAGCTATCTGCACTATCATCTGGACTCAGTATCAACCATACTGGCTCCTGTTCTATAGCTACTCAATACGACCATCCTCCAAAGATACATCTGCTGTATCATACACTAATCAGCCACAAAGTTAAAACTATCTAGCTAATAATGAGTTGGACCTCTGCATGCTGCCAAAACAGCCCTGAATCATTGCAGCATGGACCAGGTCGTTGGCAGCAGATCATTGGGCTCCTGTGGGTTGTAGATCAGGCTTTATTTGGCACATGCCATCAATGCTTGATCAAATTCTGATCTAAGTGAGTTTGGAGGCCAGGTCAACACCTTGGGCTCTTTGCAGTGTTTCTTGTGCTGCACCTGAACAGCTCTTGTGATGTGGTTGGGCGATGGCTGCTGCTGTTGGGGAGTGTCGTTGCCATGGTGCTTGGTCTGGAACAATGTTTAGGTGGTCTGTATGTGTCAGATGAACATTTATTGGGATTCCAAGACCTAAGGTTTTCCTGCCAGACACTGCAAAAACAAGCTGTTGTTGCTTTTGTAAAGGGAGAAATATTTCTGCTTTTCTAGATTTTTACGTTTGAGAAAACCTTTTTTTACTGCCTATTGTATTATTTCCTATTATGTATTGTTTAAGCTGGCACAGTGGAGCAGACAATAACATCTTCACTGAGCTGTTTTTCTCATATATCAACTATGGAGAAGTTTACTTTACTTGTTCCTACATAGTTTCTCATTTCTCTGAGTTATAGTTGACAGCTGTGTTTAAAATAAAGTCAAGCTGTGGCTCCATACCTTTCAGATGCAACTGCTTGGTGAAGGGACATCATCAAGACATTTGGGTTTAGTCTTGATCCCTGCAATAACTCCACTCCTGTGGCCTGTCATTGCTGCCACTCATCACCACACACACATACACACATTTTGTCTTTTACAGCTTAGTCCAATTTTTTTTCTGATTGTATTCAGCAGTTTGAATAATTCCTCACCCAGTGTTCTTCCAGGCACCTCTCTGCAGGGGAGAAAATCCTCCAGTATTGTCTTTTCTTTTAGACGCCAAATGAATTCAATCTGTCGAGTTGCATTAGCGGCATCTATTGATCCATCCAGCTGAATTGTTTGCAGGAACACAATCAGAGACTGAATGTCATCTGACAGTTCTACAACTCTCCTCCTTACTTTGTCATTTGAAAGAGGAACTGTTTTGAACTTATTAGCCGCCTCTGCTCTAAGCCTAACCTCCAGCTGGAAGTAACAGTTCTTCTTCGATTTTATGCAGCTTCTTATTTTTTGTCTTGTTTTACTATCCACTGACTGTTCACCATTTATTTTTTCTGGCTGGCTTTTTCTTCACCCCTCTGTCAGAAGACGTTTTTAGATTTACTTGCATGCTCCAGCTTTTGTCATGACTTGCTTTAAGGCTATGTTTTTTGACAAGCGAAGAGAGACAACACATTGTGGTCTCCACCAAACTTAATATAGCTAGCATTTTTCTTGGCAAGGTGTAACCACTGAAGATGTGAAATGAAATATTTTAAACTAAATTTTTAAAATACAATGTTAAAAATGTACAGCAAAACAATTGAAAGTTGTTCTTGGGACAGCCTTGGCCTGTCATTTAAGACACCTCGGAGTCCTGCAGCGTTCACTTTGAAAACTACTGCACTATAAAGTTGCATGTGTCTAATCGAAACCCTCCACTGTCACCTTAACCTTTGCATTAATATGTTTTTGCATGTGTGTCTTTAGAGGTCATATGTGGGGAGAATAAAAAGTCTAAGTAATGACTGATCAGTCCTGTAGTCTCAAAGGACTGCAGGTCCTAGAGTGAATAATACATTTTTTTTTTTTTTTTCGCTTAGAGGATACTGCAGCATGGCTGCTCGGCTCTAATGTAAAGGGCATGCTGTGACACTAGTGTTGTTACTCGAAGTCCAGGCCAGGGGGAGGCTACAAAGCTCAGGCAGGCAGACAGTAGGTATTGTGCTTAAGGTTTTGGTCCTTTGAGTCTAGACTTTTCTGCAATTCCCAGTGGATAAAGGAGAAGAGACCAGCAGTCTTATTCCTGTGGGCCATCAGCTCTTTTCCTGCTGTATTATTTCCTGAATACACTGCATGTGTGTACTGTGTGTTTTCTTTTAGAGCGGAGGAACAGAAAAA